CGCTAACTGTCACTCTCATGTATCAGTGTGTGCGTCGCCCGCTGTCACTCTCATGTATCAGTGTGTGCGTCGCCCGCTGTCACTCTCATGTATCAGTGTGTGCGTCGCCCGCTGTCACTCTCATGTATCAGTGTGTGTGTCGCCCGCTAACTGTCACGCTCATGTATCAGTGTGTCCATTGCTAACATAACCATAGTAGCAGGTCACATGACCCGCTTCTTACAAACCCACATTGTGTTGACTAACCTGTGCGAATGGTGTTACAATCATGTCTTCTCCATGCCTGAAATCACACACAGAAGCAACACGGTAAATGAGCAGAGCTGGGGAACAGTAACCCATTTGGGATGCAGCATAAACAAGTTTAAAACTGAATTTACATTTTCATTTACATGCTTTTACAGTCACACAAATAAGTTGCTTAAATAAATACTGTCACAGACTCGGGTGTTTCTGGCAAGGGGACAGGGAATACACAAAAGTCAGATGTAGAAAAGGAAATCATGCGTCCTTTGTAAGGCATACAGGTCACTAGTCAGGCTACGGGGAAAAGTATCAGAAACACCTCAGGAACAAAAGCACAGATGAGATATATATGGGGATGTGAGTGTGACGAGTTTGTGGAATGAGTCTGGTCATACTGGTAGATTAGGCAAAGTTTCTGAAACTTGCACGGAGTGCTACTGGGACATCCCCTTTAAGGAGAAGAATCATTTTATTCACACCTTTCTCTCACTGAAGCGACCAGCTCACTTTAAAATACTTCAAGCCCTCTTCCCTTTAAAAACACAAGAGATGGTTGGTGACCTGAAAGTAACCTGTGAGCCATTCAGTACAGTACAGGAAACATCTCTGAAAAAGTACATTCAGAAGAAATACATTTCAGACCATGCAGTTTATCTTTCGAAAGGCAAGCTACGGAGGAAGGAATCTATCGGTGAGATGAAGGTGCCTTTCAAATTGGACAACGAAAGATTTTCCAGATCCATGGAGTTACATGGTTTTATGAGCCGTGCAAATTCTTCTTTAAGTTCAGAATACTCTGCTTCTTTGCTCAGTTGGCCAAAATGAAGTAGGGATTCCGCATTTTATTTTCAGCTAAGTTTTGTATTCATCTGAGAAACAGGGACCCTGAGTTGATACTAGCAAAATACACATATCTACGCAGCCCCTGATCAGACATCAGGGTCACACTCCAGCCAGAAGCCCAATCATGCACTAGTGCATGCTGTGAACACACCTGCAAACTGATTTCATTATACACCTCACTATACACCTGTGACCTACAGATGTTTCTTCTGGGATATAGACACTGGATTTCTGTTATTGAAAAAAGTCATCTGATCACTCAAGCATTTAAAAATTAGCTGCTTGATCCTGATAGGTATTCCCTCGATCTTCCAGAACATATTATAAATAAATCAGCGTAGCTTTGGTTGGCTTCTTACCAGCATACCCATCCTAGAGGTCAGAGGTGTTTCACAGTGGTCACACAGTCATTTCCTAGCTGCCTGCATCTCCAGCTATGAGGCGATTTACTGCATCCACTCATAGTCATGATATACTTATGAACTGAGGATTAGTATAATACAGAAGCTAAATCAGCCGTAAGGAAAAAAGGGATAGAATGAAATACTTTGACATGTAGGTGGACAGCTTCTGTAAGGTGACAGACACGACACATGATCACTCCACATACTGGGAGTGTATAAGTTCTTATTTTTACTGTAGTGTCTACACACCCATGTAGCTGGGGGTCCTGCCCAGGACAGGTAACCTGAAGGAGATGCATGCACAGACCTTTACACCCCTTATGAAGATGCACTATATGCAGAATGTGTGCCAAACTGATTTGGAAAAATTTATAGATTGCAATCTTTCAGTGGGTGGGTTGCAAACCAAAAATGGGTCGGCGGGCCATTTTCAAAGAATGATGTTACCGCTCGCATGCCATCCTTCAGCTGGCAAACTTCACCCTGATGTCATGATGTCATGAGTCACCCAGATACTTACCTCTACGGTCACCACTACTTACCACTTCATATATAACGCACCCTATAGAGGTATGGGCATGTGCATGTATATGGGTATGTATATGGTTATATATCTACAGTATATGTATATGTAGATGTATATGTATGTATATCTGTATATAATGTGTGGATGTATGTGCATTGTACGGGTGTGTATATGTACATGCCAATACCCACTACCTGGATAGTAAATTGTAGCTGTAGTAGTAAAAATAGTTGATATTTATTATTACTTGCACTTTATCCCACAACCCACTATCCATATTACATATTGTATATGGGTGTACATAGGCACTACTGTTGTATTTAGTGTCTTATCTTATTTTATTTTTTTGTATTCTTATTCTTGAATTTTTATATATTCGTACTCTTTTCAGGCTATCTGTCTAGAGCTGTGGTAACGCACAAATTTCCCCACTGTGAGATCAATAAAGTTCCATCCATCCATCCATCCATCCATCCATCCATCCATCCATCCATCCATCCATCCATCCATCCATCCATCCATCCATCCATCCATCCATCCATCCATCCATCCATCCATCCATCCATCCATCCATCCATCCCCAACTCGCCACCTCGGCCAGCAGCTTTTACGGATTATATATGTTTTTCTTCCTCTTTTTACTGCACTGTTTCTTTTTCATGAAAGACATTTGGTTCAAAATTGGTTAAAAATGTGACTTCATAACTGAAGAAAAATGTAAGTGCTGAGGCATCCTGAGATGTGGTTAGACACAGCAAGATTTCCTGCAGCTACTGGCCACCTGACCACCAGGTCCAGCTGTGGATGGTTTATCATCCAGTCAGATACAGCTGCAGTTCTACCCTGCGAGACCCCATATTGAGAGACAGAGGTGATACTTACAGCTCGCTAGCAGAGGAGGAGTTCCGGGACATGGCCTTGGGAGACAGGTCGAAGTCGGAGTCGGAGCGGTACAGGAAGGACTCGCGGCGCTGGCTGTGCGGGAAATTGGCCTGCAGGATGAGGCCGGAGCCCGGGCTCGCTTGGGGATCCAGCGGGCTGCGGCTGGCCGAGATCCCATTCTCCACATCGAAGCTGTGAGGAGAGGAGAGGAGCGAGAGCTTCAGTTTGGGAGCGACACACCCACACAGCTTCATAATCCAAGGGGGCAAATATGGATCGTCACTGTGTGGATGTAAATGGAAAAGGTGCCTCTGCTTTGGGTCTGAAACACAGAAGTCTTTAAACACAGGTGCTTGCAAAAGGGGTCAGACCCAGCTACAGATTAAGCATTTGACACAGCAGAAAAGAGCAAATAAACACTAATAATATGCTGAATTAACCATGCCAACCAGCCAGTGATGGAGGGTGTCTCGGAGAGTGGACAGACACTGAAGTGCAAGATGTTCGGCTCAACCTGCAAGTGACTGAAGATCAAGCTGATTAACCAAGACCTGGGGAAATAGTTGTCTCCCTCTCACTAAGAAATGTGCTTAATGCATTGATTAGATTGAATAATCATCACCAGCCCTGGTTACTTTTCAAAACATAAGCCAGGTCTGATTGTCGGGGGGATGCTGCTGGCTTCATCTAACCTGGATTTGGTCTAAACCTGTTCTGGCTCCTTCTGAAGGCCTCAGGCTGTTGTTGGTTCAGGAACCTACAAAAAACAAGCACCTTTCTATGTCCAGATCCTCCAAATGTGCATCTGTGAGCTGGCAGCTGCCCTGCACTCGTCTTCACAGACTGATTTGCTGACTTCCTCTGTGATCTGATCGCCACAGCTGATATTGCTGTTATTGAACAACTTTTTCACTCATAATGAAAATGAAAGTAATATTATTTTGACTGATTTTGTAAATGTCATTGGATCTGCTGGTTTCTTTCAACTGTAAACCGGCTTTGTCTCCTATAATGTTGACATTTAAAGTTTTGTTTTAACAGAATCAGCCTTCATCGTATTTCACCGTGGAAATTCAACTAACTTGACTTGCCAAGGCTTACTAATGATCAGTCACCTTGACTAATAACAATGATCAAAATAACAGTCTCATTTCCCATAAATGACATTATGATGACTTTATCATCAATGAGTTACACAGTGAAAACAGCAATGACTAATTATACCCCAACAGGAAAATACTGGTCCTGTTGATTTTGCACAAAGGATATAATGAAATCATCATTCTTAAATTATCCATGTGTTTCATTATTTCTGGAGAGAAACTCAGGTTAACAATAAGAACATCGTCATGATTGTTAGATCAACATCATTAAGGATAATAGTTTACAGCCCTCAATTCCACTATAGTTCAATTCCTATCCTGCACCAAATATTAAAATGAAACCCACCTGTAATGTAATTTTGATGACTTCATGATTCACAAGATCACAGACAAGATCCAGTGTATGCCATAGACTGCTACCAGAGGATCCAGTGTATGCCATAGACTGCTACCAGAGGATCCAGTGTATGCCATAGACTGCTACCAGAGGATCCAGTGTATGCCATAGACTGCTACCAGCAACCAGCCTTCTGCTGATGGTGACAAAACAGCAGACATCCGGCTGCCAGTTCGTGTGCTGTGCGCTTCACTCATCTGCATGGACCCTCCTCTCACTTCTCCCAGTCACATGATCATCATGGTTAACACCCCCGCTGCTATCAGTAAGCACCAAGTTGTTTTCTGTGGTCTTCATTTTCAGAATACTAGATTTTTTTCCCCAGAAGTACTACATTCATTGCCTTTATTGAAGGAGTTAAGAATCTTCATGCTCCTCATATGACCTCATATTTGTTACTGTCCGTAAAAACAGGCTTTATTCAAATTTGATCTAACTAGAATAAATAAATGACAAGATGTCAAGCAGGACACTTAAAAATCACACAAAGGTTACAATGAAACAGAGCGAATGAGACCAAAAAGTATTACACATTTATGTCTCGTGCTTAGCTCAGAGCCAGCAAAATGTATCATTCAGACAGAATCACCCTTTTGCTTACGTATAGAGCTGCTACGCAGAGAAATCTCAAAGGGGACTGAAGGACAGCGAGGTGGTCTGTGCCTCTGTGGGTTAGGACTCTGTGTCAGACTGGAGGACAGCGAGGTGGTCTGTGCCTCTGTGGGTTAGGACTCTGTGTCAGACTGGAGGACAGCGAGGTGGTCTGTGCCTCTGTGGGTTAGGATTCTGTGCCAGACTGAAGGACAGTGGAGTGGTCTGTGCCTCTGTGGGTTAGGACTCTGTGTCAGAATGGAGGACAGCAAGGTGGTCTGTGCCTCTGTGGGTTAGGACTTTGTGTCAGACTGGGGGACAGCGAGGTGGTCTGTGCCTCTGCAGGTTAAGATTTTGTGCCAGACTGAAGGACAGTGGTGTGGTCTGTGCCTCTGTGGGTTAGGACTCTGTGTCAAACTGGAGGACAGTGAGGTGGTCTGTGCCTCTGCAGGTTAAGATTCTGTGCCAGACTGAAGGACAGTGGTGTGGTCTGTGCCTCTGTGGGTTAGGACTCTGTGTCAAACTGGAGAACAGTGAGGTGGTCTGTGCTTCTGCAGGTTAGGACTCTGTGCCAGACTCTAGGGCAACAAGATGGTCGGTTTCTCTGCAGGTTAGGACTCTAATGAGGCAGAGGATTGAGGGAAAGACCACAGATATTTACTGAGCACACAAATCCACTTAGGCACTCTGAGGAGGAAAGGGATTGGAAATACTCCTCACATGAGGTGGAGCAGAGTGAGTGTGCAGTCTTCTCAAAAGGTTATTCTGCATGACATGTGACACGAGGGTCAGGTTATAAATGACAGCCTGACGGGACGGTAATTAATATGTGTGGCTCCATTGCCTTGTGTCGGCTGTTGATGTTTTAACAAGCTCTCCTGGGTAATGAGGTCTGGCCACTTCCAGGCCACTATTAATAGAAGTCTGGGCACAAAGGTGGTGAGGCAGGGCAGGAAGGTTTAGGAGGCTACAGAGACCGTCATCCAAGAGGCATTAGAAATTATACAGGATGTGAAGTCACACAGACATACCAAAGGAGCATGCATAGAGTCAGAGGCAGTAAAGAATGGAGGTCACTTTAAGAATGATTCATGTCGTGTGGAAACTCTAACCCTCACATGTATAAGCAGGATGTGTGTTTGATTCCTGTTGTCTGGAAACTCTAACCCTAACATGTATAAGCAGGATGTGTGTTTGATTCCTGTTACGTCTCAGTGATTTAAATTTTCATTATGGAATTTAAAATGCTCTTTGTTGGAATGCATTATATGATGGCATATCCTAAATTTGTATATAAATAATGATCAGTTTCTGTTCAGTGCCAATGAAAAGGTTACATGAACATATAGATAAGAAATAAAAAGTAAAAGAACCTTTCAAACAATGATAAAGTATATCACTGACATCACTAGGACTGTAGCTGACCTCTGAATGTTTAAAACCCCCTAAATAAAGTCCCATATCCTTCCCTTAAAATGAATACAGAAAAGCTGTTTTAAGGGAACTCTCTACTGGCCAGTATTAAGAATGTAAATATAATAAGCCAATGAATTATACCACAAGTGATTTGGTGCCAAAATACGACAAAGCACTTTGGTGTCGCAACCTCTAACCCAATGTTCTCCTTCCCACTAACGTCTTTATTTACTTGTAGCACATGTGTTTCTTACATCTATGTTCTGTGTCACGTTTTTCCCATGGAAGCAGCCATTGGGCAGAACTGACCGATCAGTACGGGTCCTCACACACACTCGCAAAGTCCCTTCGCTCAGAGCCCACTCTACAAGTGACATGAGGGCAGGATGTGCGAATCGGTGAGCTTTTCATGTTTTCCACCGCAAAAGAAGAAACCTACATGGATGCAAGGCAGAGCTCCTGAAAGCTTCCCAAACTCGGCTTTATTTTAGAAAAATTAAAGACTGCAAAAATAGCTTGTCAATATGCCACACACTTAATCATCAATAAGACATTTAAGGACATTCAGGGACGGCAGCAGTCTCCCGGCTCAGCCCCTGTCCAAGGGGATATCGACACTTTAGACAGCTGAGGGTGTCCGTGGGTCACAGTCATTAGGGCTTCATTTGCCAGCTAATAAGTAACGGTGTCCATGCAGCACAATCACCTCAGGACACTAAGCAGGCCACAGTTTTACTTTTTAGCACCAACTATTTCACAGATATTGAGTGAATGTTACACCTAGGAAACATGGTCCATGATTTTATGATAAAACATTTTATGATAAAGCTCTTTATTTCCTGCCCTGAATCACACTGTGAATATAGTGCAGATTTCGTTCATGTTTTTCATAGCTGAACTGGAGCTGCTTGTGACATATCTAACATAGGCTAAGGTCATATATATAGCATCAGGACGCATTACATAACTCGATATGCCCATAGCTCAATATTCCCAATACACATATATTTGAACACTATGTAAATGTGATGTGACAGTCCTACTGACCATTAAAAATCAAAAGTGTGAAATGAACTTGTATTTCTCTACTGTTACTCAGTAAGATACAGGAGTATCATTGTTTATCTGTCAAACAAGGCAAAAAAAGAGGAAGACAGGGAGCAAACAGCTGGCGTGGTCTGTCCAGGGGCCAAAAAGTCAACCCAAATCAAGAATGACTCTCATGACGTCACCATCACTGTTCCTGCGTTGACTTACTGACCTCTAAAGACAAACCCTCCCCCTATCCCACAAGAAGAAACAAGAGCCCTGGAATAGTGCCATAGTGAGTAAACACTGTGGTCTGAGCACGTCACAACAGTAGTATCTACTGTTATTTTAAAAAGACATACAAACCATTGGAGTTTATAGAAGAACTGGAAAGATACTTTTACAAAGAAAGCTCACGTATATGTGAAAGAGTTCATATATGTATCCATGTGGCCATGCTCCGTCCAATCAGACAGGGAAAAACAATAAGCTGAAAGGCTTTCCTGGCTTCCCATTGGCTTGCCAGAAATTATGTTGGCTCTCCACTCACTGGAAGACCAAGACAGCAGCCTCTCCTTACTTTGGTATCTGATTAGACCAGGAGCAAAGACACAAATGAACAAATAATAGCAAAACTTCATTTGTCATCTGTCCCCAAAGTGTCTGAGTGCCCCAAACCAGCCATGTGTTCCACTGTCTTTCTAGGATCGCCATCTAGTGCTCAGATGCTTTATATATATTTATTTATATTTAATATATGATGCTTTCTTTACTCTGCACTCAATGTGTGCCAATTGTGCCCATGTCCTCAGTCATAATATACGGCAGCAACAGGAATCTCAGAGCAAAGCACACCTAGTGGCGGAAGGATACGGAAATCCTCAGCCATTTACAGGGACTGCTGGAGTAGCAGATGGGCAGTGGGTACAGATCTTCAAAAGCTGCGATGAAGACATGACCCTCCAGGCCTTCATCACAGTTACCAGAGTTAATGGAAAGGACACTTGATGCTTTATTCCAAGGAGCTCTCAAGAACCTGCTGGTAACGGCTTAACCTACTGGAAAAATAGGGTTGCTACATAGCTTCTTTGAATGAACTAGCTACTACTTTTACTGTGGCATGCAGCAGCACAGTACCCAAAGCATGCAAAGCTGCTCTATTTCTGGAATATAATGTGCGGCTGGCAGTTGCACTCACTTCTTGATAGCACTCGCTACAGTGACCACTTGCCAGAAGCAGGCAGTAGCCATTTCTTGTCCTTATCTCATGTGACACGGATATCAAGTGAGAACAGCCATCGCTCGAGCGTCACTGACCCTGGGATGTTAAATATCCTGACAGCCTCTCTACCTCAGAAAGGACTGATAAGCTGCTGTTAACCACATGGGGGAGGGGGGTTCTGCCCACTGCTCCTGGTTCTAATGGGGAGGGGTCACCCTTATTTATGGAAGAGCGGCTCTGACGCCAAACTCACAGCCACTGTCTAAGCTCTGTCCCACACTCTTCAATGTGCAGTGCGTCACATGATGCTTAAACGCATTCCCCCGAACTGACTAATTGCACGATTTCACCAGTGGAAAATAGGCAAAATCAATCTTTACTCAGAAGCAATGAGTCAGTGCGTGGAATAAAACCACGTGGGCATTAAAAAAAACTTAGATTTCAGTTTATGTGTTAGCTGTTAACAGCCTGAAATGGACGTCAAGTACTTTAGTTACATTTTACTCTGAGGTCAGAGAAGCCAGAGTGACTCTGGGCAATGAGGCTTCTGCACACGTACGCCTCCAGTCACATCTTAAATGAGGCAAAAACATACAGTATCACAGGAAATGACATCGGAGGCCTTGGTGAACCCACTAGTAACACAGCCTCTGTCCAGAGAAACAGCCCCAAAAATCCAGGGGAACGAAACAAGGAAGAGAGGAACCCTTCGAGCAGGTAAATAAAGAAGTGAGAAGCGTGGGCTCTCTCTAAGAAGCGTGGGCTCTCTCTAAAAAGCGTGGGCTCTCTCTAAATAGCGTGGGCTCTCTCTAAAAAGCGTGGGCTCTCTCTTGCAGCCTGTTCCCCCCAGGCCTGCAGGAACAGTTTTTCAGCCACGTTTGCCTTTGCAGGCATGAAGAGGCTGGGAACTGCTGGCAGATGGAATCGACTGCTGGTAATCTACATGGAAAAATGAAAACAAGAAAACAGGAGGATGTTTAGAATGTCCATGTTACTATTATGGGATGTGGCCAGGGGGTCCTGGGGGTATACATTGCGTTTGGCATGTGGCTGACGTCAAGTGGGATCGGAAGCTCCCCCCCTCAGTGCCGCCATGGGAACCAGCTGCCACGCCAGATTTACAGTCCATTTGTTGACAGCCTCTCAGTTTATGTCTGGAGATGTCCAGTGCAAGCCTACTTCCTGTCTCGCAGGTAGTCCACAGTCAGGAACATGGACCTACAACATGTACATGTCCCTGCAGAGGAAGACTCCAGAACCACAGCGACCCTGCACTGGAAGACTCCAGAACCACAGCGACCCTGCACTGGAAGACTCCAGAACCACAGCGACCATGCACTGGAAGACTCCAGAACCACGGCGACCTTGCGCTGGAAGACTCCAGAACCACGGCGACCCTGCACTGGAAGACTCCAGGACCACTGGGACCCTGCACTGGAAGAGGCACAATGGAAAACTGAAGGGCAGAATAAACAAAATAAAATGATAATAAGAGATCAGAGAGATGTTTTTCAGCAAAGGGGCCCTGCTTGCCAGTGTTTTTTTTGGAATGAGCATGGTTACGTAAATCAAACCTTTTTTAATTAACTAGCAAGCTGCTGTGATGAAGGCAGCATTTTTACAGCAGCAATCTGAGCCAGTGGCCACGTCATTTGCGACAGTACGCGGCACACATGCCACGGGCCGGAAGAAGGGCTGTTCATTTGGGGGGAGCCATCGATCCCTATTGAACACCCTGTACCAGACAGTTAGGCTGGGAATTGCAGGTGGAAGCGCGGAAGCACAGACACTCCATCCACTAATCAAGGGTTGGCGGCCGAGACCTGTGTCTGCAAAACAGTCACGGGTGAGGAGAAGGGGGCAGAGGAGGACAGGGATGGGGGGAGAAGGGGAAGGAGATGGAAGGGAAGAGGTAGAGGAAGAGAGGAAAGGTGGGTAAGAGGAGGATAGGAGGAAGGGAAGAAAAGAGGAAGAGGGACAGAGGAAGAGGGGGAGAGGTAGATAAGAGGAGGAGAGGGAAGGGGGAAGGAGAGGAGTAAGGGAGATGGGGAAGAAGAAGGAGGGAAAGTGGAGGAGGACCGGAGGAGGGGACGAGGAGAGGTGGGTAATAGGAGGATAGAGGAGAGGAGTATGGGGAGAAGTAGAAGGAAGGGGAGAAGGAGGGAAAGAGAAGGAGGATAGGAGGAGGGGAAGATGAGAGGTGGGTAAGAGAAGGACAGGGAAAGGGGAGAAGAGGAGTAGGGGAGAAGGGGAAGGAGGAGGATGGAGAGAGGAGGAGAACAGGAGGAGGGAAAGTGGAAAGGTGGGTAAGGTGAGGATGTGGCAGGAGAGGGGTATGGGGAGAAGGGGAAGGAAGGGAAAGGGAGGAGGATGGAATGAGGAGGAAAACAGGAGGGAGGGAAAAGGGGAGGTGGGTAAGAGGAGGACAGGGATTGGGGAGGAGGCTGACAGTACAATCGGTGAGACATGACAAACTGAAACACAGCACCCACTGTCAGCTGGGCCAGCTATCATGTGGAGCCACACGGTCATACAAACCCCTCCTTGATATATTAACTTAAAATAAGCCAAGATTTAAGGAACGGGTCTTCCTGCAGTGTACACCTTGTTCACATCATTAGGCTGAAAGAACATTCCATCGGCAGCATACCCTGATGGCCCATAAACCAACTCATCGTTAATGTTGCTTAGTGTGGTCTGTATTCTCCCCTACTAGCATAAAGTCTGTCTTTTAA